CACACTGTCAAACTCCTCTTCTGGTTGCTGAAGTTTGGCACTTAGATGTTAAGAGTTTATTACTGGTTTGGTTTGAACTGGCCCTTTGTTGTTTCCCTATATTCCACATACAAGTGCAACCGTCTGCTATGTGCCTTTCTCCTTCTCACTTGGTGTGCTTAGTATTATCCTTTCTAGTTCCATCCATGTTGTCACGAAGGTCAAGAGGTCATTCTTTCAAATTTCTGCTTTTGTTTCATCATTTGTCCAATTGTTCAGAGGTGTGTTGTTCAATTTCCATATATTAGAGGTTCACTCTGCTCTTTCTTTTTTGTAGTTGATTTCTAGCTTGAATCCATTGTTATTAGAGAAGGTACTTGGTATGATATTAATCTTCATGAATTTTAACTTTTTGATCTCTCCATGAGTGTGTGTGTGTGTGTGTGTGTAGTTTCTCTTGCAAGATAGTTCTTGCTTTTAAAATTCAATTTCATCATCTTTTATTTTCAAGGGAGCCTTTTCCAATAAGCCTTTCTGTGATGATGTTATAAATGATCTATCCAATATGCTAGCAAGATATTGAGCGCTTGAAATAGTTCTAGTGTGAACAATGAACTAAATTGTTTTTTTTTTTAATTAACTACTTTAAATAGCCCCATGTGGCTAGTGTATTAGACAGCACAAGTTTAGATCTATACCTAAGTTCATTTATGAAATATAATTATTAATATGATTATGTTTAAATTTCCATTTTTTATATTTTCCATCTCTTCTTCTTTTTTCCTCTTTTCCTTCCAGCTTTATTTTGTATCAAATGTATTTTATTATCCTTTTTTTTTAACCTCCACTACTACCTTATTAGCTATATCTATTTCTTTTTGTTCTGCTTGATATTATCAATTGATATTATCAATATAATATCAATTTATCAAGTGCTTGATATTATATTTATCCTTAATTGTTGTTGTTTACCTTTAAATGATGTCTTATTTTCTCAAATATAAAAATCTTACAAATATACTTCAACTTCTCTTCCATCTTTTGTTCTATTGCTATGGCTTTTACTTCTACTTATAAGTCCCACAATACATTGTACTATTTTTGCTTTGAACAATCACTTATCGCTTAAGATTTTTTTTTTTACTAAGAAAAAAGAAAATGTATTCATCCATATATTTAAATAGTCTCTTGGTTCTCATTTCTTTGTGTAGCTTCAAGTGGCTACACAAAGTGGCTTCACCTTGAAGGTGATTTGTATTTGCCACTTCCCATGGAAGTAGTCTGCTGATGAAGAATTATCTTTGTTGGTTATATCATTCTAGAGTGACTTTTTTGGTTTTACTATGTGAAGTACTTTGTTGCATTCCTTTCTGATTTTTATAATTTCTTATTAGAAATCTACAGACATTCTTATTTTTGTTTCTTTGTATTTCAAATGTCTTTTTGCCTGACTGCTTATAACACAATCTCTTTGTGACTGAGGTTCAGGAATTTGATTATAATGTGATTTGGTGTAGTTTTCACTCTCCTTGGGATTTACTAATCTTCCTAGATTTACTAATCTTCATAGATCTCTGGGTTTATAGTTTTATAAATTTTGGAAAAATTATTTCTTTACTTTTTTCTCCCACTTCTTCCTCCCCTGTACCCCACCTTTTTTTTTGGGATTCCAACTGCATGTATGTTAAACTCTGATCTCTTAAGTCCCTGATATTTTGTTCAGTTTTAAAAAGTTTTTTCCCTTTCTCTTCTACATTTTGGATACTTTGCTATGTCTTCATTTTCAGATTCATATATACTTTCTTCAGGGTTTAACCTGCTTCTATTCCCATTTGAGGCTAGGAAGAGAATGTGCAAAGGTACAGAGCTAGGAAGCAACAAAGCGCAGGTGGGGTCACCTGGTAACTGCAGAGATCCAGTGTCATCTCATCATATTTAGCTTTAGCTCAGCCCATGGAGAAGGCAATACTTATATGTGGACCGCTGCATGATCCCTTGTGAGAAACTGCATAGGAATATAGCTGTTTCTCAACTGTGAAAACTCCTCAGTGGGTTAAATTCTCTTCCCTTTCATAGTGCAAAGGGAGTATTCATCTTCCCATCTCTCTTGGAGGCAGCCTCTACTCTCAACTAATTGGAAATATCTCCAGGTCTACACAATGCCTCAGTTGGCAGCCCATCAGTTCCCTCTATGCAACAGAGCTGCTTAACTTGACTGCTGTGAATGATGAGGAAATCTGAGCCACATGAGAGGAGAATAGGAAATGTTCCTTGCCAAACTTATTGTGCTGGAATTGGGATTTGAATGAACAAAATTAACAATTGCTTAATGATTTGAGTTCTGATCATATGTATCAATGCACTTTAAAGTGATTGGTCTTGAAAAATTTATCCTGAGAATGAGGCAAATCATTTGGCTGTCTCTTCCACATGACTCTGTACCTTTGATTAATCATTTATAACTTTCTTGCAAGAAAATATGAAAGTGATAGGGCAGATGACTTTCCAGAAAATGTACCTGTGCTATCTTGATTGGATCTTTCGGCACCTGTACTAAGATGAATTCTCACACAGGAACTTATGTAGGGAAAGGTGTGACTTCATGAAATGCATTGTTAAAGATACAATCATACCCAAATTCTGGTGACCCTAAACCTCCTGTGTTCACAGCAAACAAACCAGAAAAGGCCAACTTAGCCTGGCTTATGTCCCTGTTGGCTCTCTAAATTTAGAACTTAGAACTAAAGCTAGAAGAGTATGTCTTACTTTGTAGTCAATCTTTTCCATAAGATGAAATGAATCTGTGTATGTGTGTGTGTAACATTTTCAAGTAGGCACCATATGGACAGTATCTCGTCAATTCATTAAAACAGGTACTCTCATGAATGAACCATTTTAACACAATGAACAGCATAGATAGAAAAAACAATTTTGATGATAAAGTACTTGGGAGATTAAACTAAGAACTATGACATGGGAATGAAATGGTCACAGGTCCACTGCCTAAAGAATCTGTCAGGTAAGGTAGAAATTGAAACCATTTTGGAGGAAGAAGACCAGTGCTCCTGACCAGCTAGAGTCTGAAGGCTTTGCAAATCAATTAATATTATAAATTTTCGGTTCCTCCCTTTGTAAAATAGTTATATAATATCTGTCTCTTAGGGTGCTAGGAATATTGAATGACATAATATATGCACTGGTACTTTATAAACTGTAAAACCCTGGCACTACTGAAAGGGGCCAGATTTCAAGAAAAGCAGAGTCTCTCATCGTCTGCTTTCTCCAAAGGGAGTCTGTAGGCTGGTTGGAAATCGGAGAGGCCATGAAGGAGAGAAAGGGCATGACCAGTGACTGCCACACTGGGAAGTTGCCTGCATCTCCCGTGGGACTGTTTCTAGTCCCTTCTCCATCATGGCCACATTTCTCTAAACTCTGGAGAGGCAAATGAGAAGTTGGCCCTTTGATCCATAACATCTGGATCATTCTTTACTGGGGACAAAATAACCCGAGGTTTGATTTAAGGATAAAAATTGGATCTAGTGGTCCCCAATATTGAGCACACATCTAAATCACCTTGGAAGGCTGCTTACTCTCCATTCTTGATTTACACAGAAGCACATTTGTCTAGGAATGTGAGGAGTGGGGTGGTGGTCTTGTTTTTTAATGATCTATCAGTGATTTGGATGAAAAACAGGGTTGAGAACTTGTATTTAGTGCTTGATCCATGGATTTATTAACAATAGAAAGAGCTTGCCATCCCTCGGTTAGGAAGAGATAACTCTGTTTACTAGTGGTCTTTAAGGGGGACTTGTGATCCTAAGAGAGGGCTTGGAAACATGAAATCTTGTTGGCATTCCATGGACTTCTGCATGTTGCCCTGTCCTCACAGGGCAGTTGAGCTCTGGCCATGCTAAGCATACAAGAACACTTGTAACCCGAGAACAGGGCCTGTCATGCTCCACACAATTATATTTTGCATTAGTTCTACTGCAAAAATGTCCTTACTGACCACAGCTTTCTGCATGGACCCTGAAGAAACCCTGAGGGAGAAGCTGGATCTAAAGAGCCTCACATAGTTATTAATATTACTATCAATAAGATACTCTATCCATCTTAATTTCATCATATTTCTTATTATCATTCTGCTTATTGTCTGTCTGCTTCACAGGAAGGTAAAATTCAGAAGAGCAAGGATCTTTTTAGTGTCACCCACTGCAATCTCCTTAGTGTCTAAAAAGGCATATAGCACACAATTAACAAGTGGTACATAAATGAATGATTGAATAGTATCTACTTATTGAGCATGTAATATATACTGGGGGCCATGCTATAGCTTTATGTCTACCATCACATTGAATTCTCACAATAACTCCCCTGAGGGAGGTGTTATTGTTTATTTCTGCTTCAAGAGCAGAGGAAATGGAAATTGAGAGAAATTAAGATATCTTTCCAAAATAATACAATTAGAAGTAGAAGTAAGACTTGAACATGCAACTTTCCAACTCCAAAGACAAAGCTCTTCTTTATCATTTTGTACTAATTCCTTTCATTAGGGATGGCACAAGAACACATCTTCAGTGGGAATTGGTTGCAAATCTGGCTCTACTCTGGCATTGAATAGTAGTGGGCCAGTGACATTATCTCCTGACAGTGCTGTTTCCTGGGGACATGATAGGGTGATTATAGAAATCCAAGGGCTGAAAGAGAATTTTATCCCAATTTCCCATCCCTACATCCCAAATTTCAATTCTTCCAGACACTGCCATTTTATCACACAAGCTCTGTTCTTTGACAGTTAAACAACAACAACAACAACAACAACAAAAAACCCCACACAAAACATTAGCCTCTGCATATTGAAAGGACCAATTTGATACCAAAGTGTGTCTCTCTTGGGTGGTGAGGCCCTACGTGACTTTTATTTCACCCTTGATATTTTTCTAAAATGAACATGTGTATAAATTATGATAAAGATTAAGCTGCTCTAACAAAGGAACTGCAAAATACATTAGCCTACATACCTACATAAGGCCAAAGTTTCTTTTTCTCTCATCTTGCAGTCCAGGGCAGACAGTTGGGCTGTGTTCCATGAGTCCACCCAGGTTCCCAGCTGGGCTTGCACTTCTGCTTTCCTCAGCAGATGGCTGTCCTTTGGTCTAAAGCACCTGCTCCAGTTGTCCTCATTCCTGCAGTTGAGAATAGCTCATCAGCACCACCTCTAGGAGAAGGGAAGGTATAGGCAGCTTCATTCTCAAGGAAGTACTTATATCACCAGCCAAAACCCAATTCCATGGCTACATCTAGCTGCAAAGGAGGCAGGGAAGCCAGTCTCCAGCTGGCCAGCCACATGTCCTGCCAACTACTCAGAGCAGAATGCCATTATTAAAAGGAAGAAAGGAAGAGTGGCTATAATTATTTCTGGTATAAGGAGTATATATATTTTTCTGATAAGAAAATCTACACCCCCCAAAAAAATGTGATTTTTAAAAATTTTGTTTTAAGATTAATATACACCAAAATTGACTTTTTTGCATGTACAGTTCTAAGTGTATAAACATACACATGAATTTGTGTAACCTCAACCACCATCAGAATACAGACCTCTTCCATCACCCAAGATCTCTCACTTTCTCACCTTACTTACACCCTCTTCCCTACACCAACCCCCATTTCTTCAAAAGAATTCAACTGCCATATTTTGTTTGTAAAATTATGTTTGTAAAATTATTTTATGTCCAAATATCTTTTGCTGTTATAGAAATAGTCTGGTCTAAGTCAATACTTAAAATGTTTCTGCATATTTGAAAGTTATATTCACCAAGCAACTTAGGCCACTGAACATGCTTTAGATTTACCAAATGGACAACAGTGATCTTATGGTAAGATCTTTATTTTGTTGAAAATGATTTGGCCACAATACTGTAGCAAGACCCAACCACGCATCAATAACTGAGAATGGGGACCTGAAGATAGAGTAGATATACTTTTCCCTATTCCTCCTACTAAATATACCTACAAACCTTGGACAGTGTATACAAAAAAAAAATAAAGGAAGGAAGACTCCAAAAGGTGAAGAGAAGAAAGCAGACCAGGGGCCTTGGAACCTGAGGAAAAACATGGTGGATCATTGCCTGGGTTTTCTCTTATGCCTGAACAGAATAGAATAGCTAGCCTTCCCAATATGGCCACATATGACCAAGTGAGGTCAATTCCAGGAATATGAACTCGGTTAAACATTCAAAAAATCAGTGTTATCCACTACATTGACAGGCGTATCAGGTTCAAGAGAAAATTCCAATCTGATGTAATACCCAGAGACAACTGATGTCAGTCAGAGAGAAGTACAAATGAAATTCCATTGTCTATTCAGCTCTGAAGGTTAGGAAGCCCAAGTTCAAGATGCCAGTTGATTTGGATCCTGGTCAACACTGGCTCATATGTGGTGTCCTCACATGGTAGAGAGAAGCTCCCCACTTATAACCCCTGACAAACATTTATATTTTTTCCCATCACTGTGCTTTTTCTTTTTGAGATGATCATATACACAGAATCATACAGTATGTAATCTTTCTAGACTGATTCCTTTCACTCAGCATAATGCCTTTGAGATTTATCCCATTGTTATGTGTATCAATAGTTTCTTCTTTCTTAATGTATGGATGTACCATTTTATTAATTCATCATTGGAGGGTATTTCAATTATTTCCAGTTGCTGGAATCATGAATTATACATAGAATAGTTTTAAACATTTGTGTACAGATTTTTGAGAAAACACAAGTTTTCATTCTTCAGAGTAAATACCTAGAAATGGGTTTGCTGGGTTAGATGGTAGGTATATATTCATTTTTAGAAGGAACAAGCAAGCTATTCCAGAGTAGTTTTACCAATTTAAATTTCAATGTACAAGAGTAAAACATTTTTTAAAAATAAATTTACAGCCTGGTTATCTGTTATTTTTTTCTTCTAAAAGAGTTGGTTATCAAATGACACAGAAATATTAATTCCAAAGGGCACCTGCACACCTATGTTTATAGCAGCACTATTTACAATAGCTAAGCTATGGAAACAACCCAAAGGCCCAAAAATAGATGACTGGATCAAGAAGATGTGGTACATATACACAATGGAATATTACTCAGCAATCAAAAAAGATAAACACATTTAGTTTGCAGAAACATGGATGGAGCTAGAAGGGATCATGCTCAGCAAAATAAGGCAGAAAGAAAAAGAAAAATACCGTTATGGTCTCACTCATAGCAGGAATTTAGAAAACTTAAATAAGAGGCCAGGAAAAAGACTAATCAATACAAAGTAAAAATCAAAATCAACAAGCAACTATAAACCAGAGACACACTGGGGTGGGGAGGGGAGGAAAGAGCGGGGAGAGGAAGGACTAGAGTTAAAATAAGGGGGGGGTGCAATTGTATGGGGAATATAACCATAATGAAAATACATACATTGTGCAAAGATGAAAAATGATGTAAGAATTATATAAAACAAAATATTTAAAAATAAATAAAACTCAGACAACTAAAAAAAAAAAAATAGTTGGTTATCAGAATAGTTAAGCCCATTTCTTATGGTAAGGAAGGGCCTCAGGAATCATCTTCCTGATACATATCAAGACTCTATGTTCCTTTAAAGTAGGTACATTTATAGAAAGTCTACACTATGCCTGGATGTTATAGATAGTATCTTTATTACTGATAAGATAGGGTGGGATTATTATTCCAATTTCACTGATTAAAAACAATGAGACTAAGAGAATTTCAATTCAAGAATTTTTCATGCTCTAGTGGGTTGTCTGACCCTGACAAAATTAACTTGTAATTAGGTCTCAGTTTCTTAAATTTACAAAATGGAGAAAATAATATAACTTAACTTACAGTCTGGTTGAGGATGAAATGTATCTGGCACATAGTAAGCATTCTGTAATTGCCTTTTATCAAATCAATTCTATTTTGCATGGAAATCCCAGGAAGCCAGCAGCTTTATTTTACCCAAAACTAGGGAGAATGTATCCTGGTGGGAGGATTCTGCTGCTGAGTTAGTCTACAGAGGAAGCCAGTGGTGAGTTCTTGAAGATGTAGGAGGTATGGGGAGATGCAGGTATTGGATCAGAAATGAAGATCCCCAAATAGCTAAGTGCACCTTTGTCTCTTTTTCTAGCCTTTCTTTTTTGTTAAAAAAAAAAAATTAATCATCTACTAAGCCCTTTAGAGCCAGCCTTTCAAAGACCCAGTGTCACTAAGGCTTCAGGTCAGGATGTGATCTGGGGGGGGGGGTTGCAAGTCACCTGAGGAAAACTGTCCTGGGAGGAGAGCCTCTTTAGTGGTAGAGGGTGGGAGGAGAGAGCAGTGGTCAGGGGAGCTGGAGACTATAACCCTCAGGAGCATAATGGGACTCATGGGCCGCTTAATCCCCATCTCAGTTTGCCTGTAGTAATTGGAAATAGAACACTTTAGGTGCTCTTGTGCCTGAGAAAATGGGCAGCATTGAGGACAGGCACTGGGGAGACTGCTGGCATTCCTTCTCCAAGCCAGGGGATGGGAAGGTAGAAGCTAGAGTGGCCAGGATGTGGTGGAGAAACTGAGGGAAGATATGGGGTCCTGGAACAAGTGGGGGAGCAGTGAAGCTGAACTGGATCTGACAAGGTTGTGGGGCTGAGGCACAGAAAAAGGCCATTGGCCCCAACCCATGTCTTTGTAGCTCAGAGTCTGCCCTCGCAAGAAGTTTGGGCAGAAACTCTCACTTTCTGCTGGTACTCTGCCAACCCACGTGTCTCATGTTAGTCAAATCAGGACATGAGCCTCTCTCTCTCTCTGTGTGTGTGTGTGTGTGTGAGTGTGCACACGCATGCATGCACGTGCATGTGTGTTGGGGAGGGGTGTGGATGGAAATCATTCTTTAGTATATCTTCAATTGTAGGTGAGGAAACTACTGGGAGTTCTTTCCTGTAACACTTACTGAGCTCCTATATATTCTGGGTACCAGGCATTTGAGGTGAATTAGACACGGAACTTGGCTTAGTTTATATGACTAGCTCCAGGTTCACAGCTAACTAGTGGGTTAACTCAGAGACTTTGGCTTCAGTCCCTGACCTTTCCCCTCCCCGCACTGCCACCATTCTAAGCAGAGTCTGCATTTTAGCTGTGAGGGAAACTTAACTTACCCCAGTGTGTCTAAAGCTCAGTGTGGATGTGGATTACCCTGAAGCTTGTAAAAACATGCAGATTCTGATGTACTAGATCTAGTGCCAGGTTGAGATTCCACATTGCTAACCAGCTCCAGGGTGATGCCATCTGCTGGGCCATGGATCATATTTGATTAACAGTACTTTAACCTACTGTAATCAACTGATAGGGCCCCTTGTTGGAAACAATTTAGAACCAGTGCCTTGTCAGTTTTGATGGGGGCAGAGGAAAGAGGAACAGGGATCTGGTATTGATTAGCACGTCTTCCCTGGGTATATGCTAGACAATCCAAAATAAGATGGACTTTAAGTTCCCTTCCACTTCATGGTTCTGATTGCATATCAATCAGTCCAGCCAGACCTTCAGGTAGTAGAGCGGGTGAATTATTATGCTGTTTTAGCCAACAGAGCACACAGAAGAACTGACTGCTTACGTGGTATAATCTGAGGAGAATCAAGAAAGTTTTCTTTTAACTACTAACTTTAGCCTCTTTTATCTCACCTTCTAATGCCCTACTTGGCCAGTGTTAGATAGTGTGCTTTCTTATTAAAATTTGGATACTAGAAGAAGTCAGGATTAAGCAATTATCAGTCACTAACACCACAAATGGGAATCTTATTGTGCCTAGGAGCCAGGTCATCTGCATTCTAGTCCTGACCCTGCCACCAATGGTGGTGCCATCTTAACACGCATGTTCAAATTCCTGTGCCTCAGTTTCCTCTCATATACAATGAAGGGTTAGACCAGGTGAAGGTAAAAGCCATATGGACTTTAACAGCTCAGTATTTTGTCAGGAACTCAAGAGGCTGCATATAACCGCAGAGTGGAACTAACACAAGGGGCCTTTGAAGTAGAAGGAAATTCGAATCACTAGCCTGCAAGTCACATCTCTATGCCTGTAAAATGGAGACTAATTGCTGAATGAGATGACAAATATTAAGCCCTTGAAGAGGATCAAGCACATGGGATGTAGGGGTCACTGGAATAAGAGGTGAGTGAATCCTGCCAGTGGCAGTTCCTCATTGAGGAGGGCAGGTCCCTGCGGGAAGGTCAGCTGCAAGTTGATTCTCCGACTCAGAGGCCTGGGGACACAGAGAAGTCTCCGGAGAAATGCTGTTGACTTCCAACTTAACCTCAGGCCAGCCCTGCTGTCCAAAATTCCCTTGTAGGTCTCTACATTTTTTTCCCAGTAAAATTTTACTCGATGAGAGCTACTCAAGCAAGATTTTCAGATAATGAAAGCTAAAAATACACCATTTACACAGGAATATCCCGGTAATGACGTTCAGCCTTTGCAGTGTTGGCCACAATTCAGCTGCCACTTTCACACTGTGCTGATCCTGGGCTCTAACTCATGTCTCCTGCTCATTTGCTCTCTGTTTTTTCTAGACACCAGAATGAGAATGTACTGCTTCTATGGGGCATCACTTTCCTCTCCGCTCCTCCCTTTTTGCTTTTTCTCCCTCCTCACTTGCCCCTTCTCCTTATCTCTCCTGAGATGTTGCTGGCAATACCACCCAAACCCCAACCTTCTCTGTGGTTTCCCCCACCCCCTTGGCATCTCTGCTACGGAAGCCCCTTAGATACAACAAAATTGTAACTTTTCTATTTTAAATGGTCCTCTAGAGTTCCCCTGGGTTTCAGTTTGCTTGAAACCACTGCTCTTGGTCTTGCGCTAGCTCTTCTGTCATACTCCAGGAACCAAAGTGGGAAAATCATCAGCAAATCAGATAGCATAGAATGGGTACAGGGTACTCATGGCCAGTGGGCCACTATAGCCTTCCCCACTTTTCCCCGCTGCCTGGTTTTCAATTTCAGAATGGGAGGTGAGAAAATATGCCCAAATATTAATGCTTTGGTAGCAATCTTCCCAATGTTGTCTCAACTCAATTGTTGAGTAAATTCTGAATGGTGATGTTGTGGCTACTTCCCCATCTTCAGTTTAGTTCCATTGTCTCCTTACCCTCTTTTCTCTCTGCAGAAAGTGAAGATGATGTAGGCTTGAATGTCTGCAAAACCAACAATAAAAACAATAAACACTTTGATTTCAGGAAGTTATTTCTTAGAGCAATGGTCATCTAAGTGGTGGGTTTATCCACAAATGTCACCTCTAATCAAGGAGTCACATGTACTGCAAAAAGCATATTCAACATTTTAGAAATGTTTAGTATCATAATATGAAAAAAAAAGTCAGTAAAAGCTTCCCAAAGTCAAGTTCAATGCAAGTTTTGGGGATGAAGGAAATATGCATAAGATACAGTGATTTTCACCTGGGGACCTTTCAGGATATGCAGGTGGGGTGGATACAATGTGAAATTTGAATAGTTATAAAAAGGAACCTGAGTCATAAAAGGTTAGGAACTCTGGCTTAGAGGACTAAATAGTATCTCATATTCCCAAGTGGTGCCCTATATCACCAAATCAGCAAGATTTAAGTGGTTCTTCTCTGAAGACACCGAGTGGGGTTTTAATCTAGGAAATAATATTCTGTGAAATTTAGCAACATCCCCCCAAATACACTGAAATCCATTAAAAATCCCTTCTGCAGATTCCTTACTAAGAACAATTTATTCAAAGGCAATAGATTTAGTGGAGCTTAAAGCAAAGACCAAACTTGGTCAAAATTAATGAAGTCCTCTGGACATTACCGGCAGACCTCTGTGAGAGGTCATATATTTACTATGCAAACAGTAAAGGCTTCTCACCCACGTCCCACTCCAGAGACATGAGTTAGCACTCCAGAAGAGTTCATCTTGATGATCCGTGTGGTTTGGGCAGTGAAAAAATGTGTTTCCATTTTCCCCATAACTAGATGGAAAGCAACTCCCTATTCTTGCAGAGTCTTATATTATTTACCAAAAGTTTCCGTTGAAATCCAACCCATGGGCCACTTCTGCACAAGTAGCAATGAAATAATGAGGATGGTATCAGGGGAGGAAGAGTTGCTGGAGCACAGAAGGGAAAGCCAGCCAACTGTGCTTCCGAGAGAGCAGGAGGAGCAGGGATAGCAGCTAGCCACAGTCTAGGATCCCTAGTGGGCATTTCTACTGGCAAAAATGCTAATTGCCCAAAGGAGCAGCTGCCCTGCTGGGAGAGCTGGCAGGCATGGGGCTGCTGAAGGACAGAATATAGACAATATGGTACCGGGAGGGAGTCCTTATGTCAAGCAGATAGTCTTAAGGTAGCAGGTTTCCTTAGAGCCTGTGTTGATGTACACAGGGAAGTCCAATTCCATTGCAATACTTAGAGACAGATAATCTGTGCTCCAGACACATGGTCCTAGTGTCCTTCCATTTTCTCACCTCTGTGTATGCACTGAACCTGTCTTTCCTAGACTGTTTGTCCATCTCCAAGTGACTACAGTGAAGTTCAAGTGGTCTATTTGGAGAAGCAATGAATGAAACAAGAACGTGTGTGAAAGTACAAAGCACATGTACTTTCATGTGCTTTGAGAGTGGTCCACTCTCAAGGTACCAAAAGTTTCAGTTGAAATCCCACCCAAGGGCCACTTCTGCACAAGTAGCTGTGCAGATCTGTCTAGGGGTCAGATGTGGACATCTTAATTCCATGGTACTTTCTAGAAAGCTTGCTCTCTGTGATGAGTTATCCCAAAAAGAGATTTACTTTCCTAAATTTGTATAGCCCAGGCCTCTTCTCATATTCCAATGTCCTTAGAGTAATACTGGTACAGTTTTGTTTGTTTTTCTTTTCTTTTCTTCTTCTTTTTTTTTTTTTTAGTGGAGTGACATCTTCTATATCCGTCCTAAGTGTGCTGCCTGTGGCCACACAGAAAAAACTGACCTCTTTCAGGTCAGGTTTTCAGAGTCAATTGTGATTGAAGTTAGGAGAAAGAAGGAATTAAGTCTGGAAGTGGCAGAAAGGCATAAGGTTCATCCATCCACCAGATATATATTGAGCATCAGCACAAGTCAGGCACTCTTCTAGGTCTTGAGAATACAGAATCTCAATTGGAATTTAAAACTGGATTCAAATTTACATAAAAATGGGCCATGGCAGATCATTGGAATGAAGAGGAAAGGTGTTCCTGCTGACTAGGAAGGCTCCGCTGGGGTGGACTCTGCCAGATGTGGAGGTGCAGTGACAGTTTTTGACATGAATGTTCCCATAAATGCCTTTGTCTGGGAGCGCCCAGCAAAAGACCTGCACTATCTGTTTGCAGACCCTGAAGACATTTCTCGGCCACTCCGAGAAATTTCCTCTGCTATGGAAAAAGAGGGCCTGTTTATGGGTTTCTGGAGGAGGGACTGTTGTCTGATTCTCTTTGCTGCCCTACTCAGAAAAATGTTCAGATTTCTTTTTAAGGCACTGCACGCAGGATCATTCTATTGTGAGCTATGCATATGTATCTGTTTAATTTTAACTCAAGTTCTTTACCAAAAGGCAAGTTCATTTACTCAGAGCCTAGACAGAAGGCTTTCCCAGTCCTGACACCTTGCTTGTTTGCTACTTAAAGTCTTTTGGAAGAAAAGAACAGATTTTTGCATTTAGTTCCCTTTCTTACTTCAGGAAAAAAAATTTTTTAAACCCACACAACTGTCCTAATTGGAAGGGATTCTTGATCTATTTCACTGCAGTCTGTTTATTTCTGGTAAGTGTCCAGCACTCTTGGCCCTTACTCCTCCTGAGGCTGCTCTCCAACAACATTCCGACCTCCTTCCAGAGCCATTGGAGCTTTACAACAGTCCAGAAATCGCCACATAGAACCCCAGGTGACATGCAGGGAATAGCTGACCTCTCCTAGGCCCGTCTTCAGCTTCCCTTTGGGTCCAACCAGGCCACTTTGCCACACTGACATTCCTGTCTCCTTTCAGCTCACCTGGCTTGTCTTTCTCTGCAGGGTGGGACCCCACCCTGCTGTCTTCATATTATGTGTATGTGAGCAGGAATTCTGGGAGGTTGCGGTGGTGAACGTTTAATTTTAGACTCAGCTAGAACCCTTACACTGGCATATGAACCTAGAACAACAACCTGTACAGAACTGCTCTGGAAAAACAGACTGGAATGGATCCAAAAGTAGGGTGGTAGAATGCAGGCAAAACCAAATATTTCTCCATGAAATCATTATGACACAGATGAAGGAGAGCAGGGAAGCTGTATCAATTCCCCACATTTGCAGACAAGGAAGCAAGCATGGTGGTGATGCTTCTTTCTCCTTATGAAAATTATATGCAACTGCATGGAGTTTCATGTGCACCCTAACTTAGAGACATAGTCTGTGGACCCTAAAACATGTGTGAGGGCTGTGAAGAGCAGCAGCCCACAAAAAAGGGTGGAGGAGACGTGGGCCACAGGCAGCAGAGTTTAAAAAATAAACAAAACCTTGTTTTCTGAAGGTGAGTCACTCTCCTGCCCCTTGTGTACAGTGACTGGTGAAAAGAAGGTAAAGTCTCCATTTTCAAGTTGTAAATTTTGACGTACCAATCACATCAATTTTCTTCATTTTACTTTTTTTCATTATTTGACATTAATTCTGACATGAATTAGTGGGGCTGAAAAGTTCCTACTTCAAATGTTTCTGTTTTTCCCTTATACCTTCTGTAATTTCTCACCCATGAATATTGTTGCTACATCATTTGTGTAGATATTCTCAGTCACTACTCTCTCTTCATTGTATAATGTAGTCTTTAGCACTATAATACCCCTCTTTTGTCTCATTTAATAGGTTTTACCCTGCATTTCTTCTTCTTTGAAGAGAAACTGACAACATTTGCTGTGAAGGAACTGGAGCTCCTAGGGCTAACAGCAGAAACACTATGGACAAGTTTGGCTTCAGAGAAATCGAGGAGGCAGAGCACTATTAAGAACCACGCAATATTTCAGGAAGCAATCTGTCTCTGTGGAAACAGAATGAGAAGCACTTTGGGATTAAGAATTCTAGAGTGCTGTTCTTGCCCCACCCCTGGTCTAAACATCCTACAAAACGCTTCATTTAGGAAAGTTGAACCCATATGTTCTATAAGCAATAACAAAGAAAATATGATAGTTTTGATACCAACATACTGAAAAACACAAAGAGAAACAAATGATATCAACAGAAGAATATGCACCAGAAAAATGTGACCTGGAAGAGTTGAAGTTATGACCAAACAGTCCACTATGAATTTGAAACCAAACCAAACCAAAAACCCGTAACAGAACAATTTGATTCCTAAAGGAACACTGCAAGATGCAAATGCAAGAACTCAAAAGATGACAAGACAGTGGGAGTGATGAGACTGGATGGGAGACTCAGGAAAGAAGTAGACAAAACAGGGCCTCCCTGGTGGTGCAGGGTTAAGATGCAACCTGTGAAGTTATTCGCAGCCACTGCAGCATGAGTTCGATCCCTGGCCAGGGAGCTACCCAATGGCGCAGCAGACCTCTCCTGTCTCACCCACTGCTCCCCTCAGCAGTGTATTTCAGTTGATCTGCCGATTCTGTTCCCCACTCTGTCTCTGGTGAATCCTCTCACACACCACCCCCACACCTCTGGCCTGTACCCCAGTACTTGTATGCATAAATAAATAAATCTCTGAAAAAAAAGAAGTAGACAAAACAAAGCCATCACACAAATGAAGACAAAACTGAAAGGAGAAAAAGGGAGCACGTTAACCACAGAAAACACCACAAGGGCAGCAAAATATAGAAATATGAAATGCAAAATAAATGATAAGATTAAGGAGTTAAAGGGGATGAGAAGATCATGTTGACAACAGGAAGGCAAAGGAAAGTCAAAATATAGGGCCCTGAAGAAAGCTAAATAATATTTAAAAATATCATTCTAAACATTTCCTGAAATAAAGCAAGATTTAATCTATTTATTGACTGTTCACACCACTTACAGGAAAACCTGATTGAGGACAGTCACCTCACGAGACAGAGCTTGGTCAAATTATTGAACTTTGAGAATGTATCTTTTAGACAGTAAAACACACAGAAAAAGTCATTTACAAAGGGCTTAAAAATCAGGTTGAACAGAAACTTCAACTAAATAG